GTTCCGTTTCTTTCACCATATGGTCAGTTTTAGATAATGTGCAATCAATTTCTATTTTTTCTCAGATTAGACCATTTGGAATGTATAATGAAATTTACTTGGCCTTGAAAAATATTGCGTCATCAATGATTGAATCAAATTTTTATCACGCCCTGACACTATTGTCTCGACTATGGATTAATTGTTCTACGGCTAAAGTCTGCGAGGAACGTTACTTTAAGGAAGCGTACGTAAATAGTAACGCTTCACAAATGCACTGGCAAGCCTTACCAGTGAGCAAATCAAAGTATTATAGACTGGTCCGGAAATTCTCTTGTTTAAAATTCAATCGAGAATCTGAGGTCAATCTGCAAGGAACGACTTCCTGGAATGGACATAAGAAGTAGCATGTCTACTGGGTCCCCTTTCATTGGAAAAATGCGTTAAAAAAATTAAATAATAGCGGAATTATTTGTTTTGTTTCAATTAATATGTACAAGGTTGTATCTCTCTCTCTCTCCTTGTCTCTCTCGAAAATGTTCGTTAAAAACGTTTGACAGGGTACTTCGGTTAAGTTAAGTATTTTTCTTATTTTCTCATACTTTTTCTTTTACATGGATTATGTAGAAAATGTCACAAATAAAAAATGACATAATCAAGCTGTTGGCAACTGCTTCAAATAAATTGTCAGGAAGTAAAGTCCCATTAGTACTGGAAAGAGCGATAAAAACTACTGAACTTGAGAAACTTATTATTGTCAAGTCCACAACAAGTTCATTTTCCTTGTTAGCTGTTAACCTCAGTAACTTGTCAGTCGTTTTTAATTAAACTTATATAAAAGTTTGATTGCTACCCAAATACACACTAATCAAATTATTATTGCCGCCATTAAACTTTTTAAACAGTATAATTATTTATTTTTGTTTACAGACCTGAATGTTCGGGAAATCTCATACGCAGGTATCGAAAAATCAGAACCGCCTGTGACGAATGCAAGCCCACAGATATACGTTATTCCCCACTCCCACAACAGAATCCAAAGCAGACACGCATAGAAATACGCGTAGGCGAAGTCTAAAAATAGATTCAGACCCAGTAAGATAGCACATAAAAGAAACAACGTGATTGGTCAAAAGCAGCCAATCAGCAGCCAAAAAGAAGACGCGCACGTGAAGAGAAGAAAAAAAAAGCAGCTTTATCGGAGAGACCGGCGGACGGCAAGTCACGCCAACGTCCATTTTCCAGGCAGCACGCTGAGACGACACATTCCCAGAGTCAGAGAAGCAGACCAGCCACTCATATGCCAAGAATGTGAAGATAGTCCAGACGCAATTGGCCTGAACCCCTCGGAGATCATCGCCTTAAGAAGAAATCCTGAATATAAATATAAGGCAGAGAATGTGATCCCAGTTGAAAACCTAAAGCTCCAGTCGCTGAACCAAGAATACAAGAATAGAGACTATTATCGCCTTTGGTCGATAAATGCATATCTCAGATAAGTTTATACCCCTAAAATCGCCAGTGATATTATGATTCGCAAACATCCAATAATATTATGTCCTTGCACGCACCTTTCCATAATTGTAATACTAGACAATTGAGACTATACCCATGTATGTGAGTGAAACATTGCACCCGTTAATATTTGTCGTATCCCAACTAAATATAAGTTATAGCTTACATGATATAATATCTTTATTGTCGTTGCTATATACATGTTCTTGTTAATTAAATATTATATTGTTCACAATGTTGTTTCGTTCATTTATGGTCAGTGGTCGGCCGAATGTGTTATTCCAAGAACCCGGGGAAGCCTAATTCAATTAGATCATAATTGAGTTGGGCTTTGCTTACTTTCTTTTCTTTTTATATTATCTGCTGATGATTTAATGATGTAAGGGAAATAGCCCTAATATTTTTCAGTAATCCCATAACGGAAGGTTATTTGGGGAATAGAAGATATAAAACGAATCACCATGCAGAATATATATAGCTTAACCTGGCGTTGATTGTGTTCCCCATCACAATATTAATACCAGGTGAGGATCTATAACACGCCCCCCCCCATTCGCAAAAGAAATCATCGCTCATATTTTTGATAGAACTGTGCTGCAGTTCATAAGATCTAAGTCCCAAAGAAGAAAGCACATTACCATGAAAATATTTATAGAAAAGACACAGGGAACTAAGTTAGGTCAGTACAGATTACATCGCAAATTTTTATTTGCATTTTACCAAAAATATCTAAATCCATAGCAGAAGCACCAGACCAAACCAAATGTGACAGCAATATCAAGGTATGGGCGAATATTAAACTTAGAAGTGAGTACGATAGATTCTAGCGATGAGAACTGTCTAGCGTTACAGATTGAATTATATTTTCTTCCAGCAGATTTGTAAGTAATTCAATATAATCTTTCTACTCCATGTCAGCAAAAAACATTAGCCCCAGAAGCCGCAATGAATCAACATCTTAGAGTTTAATAATTTCATGGTGATGAAATGTAGCGGAACTGAAAGGCAGCAATCTGTGTGTTCTGCTGAACTGACTACAGTTCGCCGTTCTAAGAGGCAATGAGTGGCATGCGTAATATGTAAGCAGAATAGTGGACGCTTACGCAAATGTAGCAACAGTCCCTGGCAAAATGAAATACTGGACGAACGAGGAAAGAAAAGAATGGTCTACCTTGGAAACGTCGACGAATCTGTGCGTCATGTAAAGTCCGGCTGAAAAAAGAAACAAAATGGCGGCACCCATGTTTTATGACAGGTGGTTTCGGACGAGTAACGCTATATCTCGTTGGCTAGTGATTCGTATGTAAATTATGGTCGGTCCTCGGCTGTATAAAGAGAGACAGAGGCGTTCTTGTTGGCGAGAACCGAAGGCTGGGTGTGTGACGCAATTTTGCCGCCTCTATGTGGCCTGTTAGATTGTTACGTCGGACAGTCGTTGAACTGGATTTTGGCTACAAGTGTTGCGGTTGAGAAACGAATCTGTTGCAGACTTATTCCTACCGGAAATTGACACTCATTATTTGTTTTCGTTTTCTTTTTCTTTTCCTTACCAACGCATGAAAGGTAAAAATATTTCTCTAACATAATTAAACGAGAGCAGTTTCGTTTTGAAACGTTAAAATTAACACGCCATCTCTCGCCTCTGTTAACAACGATCTGGTCGTCATTTTTCTTAGATAAACTGCTGCTGACATTGTCAAACCGATCAGACTTACCATTAGAACAATTGTGGTAGAAATTGCTCAGAGAATGGATGCCTCACAGGTGAAGTAATGATTGAAAGCTGCAAATGGTTAGCTTTACTAGGTAAAGCAGTGAATTCTATGGACAGAATAATGTTTACCAAGAATAATGATAATGGCAATAAGAAATGGACAGATGATATTCCTTGGGCAGATGTTGTAGAAAGAGGGCTTGGAAAGTTTAACACTGACAGGATATATTATAAGCAAGATGAGCAGGATTAAACTGCGAGTAAACTGCTGAACGATTTTTATTAAATAAATGGTGGCTCAAAAACGAACAGAGATGGTAATGTATAAACATCTTTCTTAGAACTTGAAAAGCAATCTGTGGAGAGTTATAATCTCTCACCTCATGAGGAAACCTGCAACATAAAAAAAAGTTAATTATATTTCTATGAGATCTGCATTTTCCAATACTTACGAGAAAACGCGATATAAGAACGATAAGCAATGAAGAAATGCTTGTAAAATGGAATCGGAAGAGGAATATTTATGGTAATGGTAAAATTAGTCGTTTCCTTATTTGGGATTTGCTGTTCACTGACCAACAAGCTAGTGCTGTTTTTGGTTGAAACAATTTATATTTCAGAAAAGTACGTTTCTCAAGTCCAGAAATTGTTATCGCTCTTTCTAGGACTAATGGGACTTTCCTTCCTAACGATTTATTTGAAGCAGTTTTGAATGCCAACAGCTTGATTATGTCATCTCTATCTATAAAAAAAAAACAGGATTTATGTGTGTGTGTGTAACGAATGCACGGCCGCAATTTTCGACGGATTTCCACGAAAATTTACATGCACATGCTCCACATTAGTAGAAAGGCCAAGACCGACTTTGCATTTCCCAACTCCCATCGATAGTGGATATAATCGATTTTTTCATGCTTCTACGGCAGTTTTCATGTAGCTTGCAGTCATTTTGTACTGGCCAGAGTGAGAGCCAATAGCTGGCTGCCACGAAAAGGCAGGAAGGTTCTATTGGTCAGCGTGAGAGCCAACAGCTGACTGACACGAATGTTAACTAGCATGCTAGCATGCAAAAAAATCGATATCTGCATTCGTCACAAGTGATATTATGGCCCATTTTTAATATTAATATTATTTTAATATTTTATAATACTGTACACTTATACGAAATACACATATTTATACGAAATTGCTTTTTAATTATTATATTCTAGAATCTTAAATCTTATATATATATATATATATATATATATATATATATATATATATATCATATCTGCTTGAAGTGTAAACCAATGACATCTTATATTATGAAATGGACAATAGAAATATTACTTAAATATGTGAATAATATAAAAATAACGTATACACAGAAACGATATTAAAGTAAATGGTATGTTTAAAATAAACGGCATTGACTACATTTACCGTCCTGAATGTCCGAGAAATTTCATAGAACCTGTATCATACACGCAACCGTCATATTGCTTAACGTGCTATGCTATATAGCTACACAGGAAGCGTTTGGTTAGCAAAGTTATATATATATATACACACACACAATTATAGGTTCGGTGTATACGGAATAAACTACAATAACCAAAAAATATGAAATAATACATTTCAATAACCAAAATATACTAAAATAATAAATTACAATAACCAAAAAGTACTATTCTTATATATATATATATATATATATATATATATATATATATATATATATATATATATATATACACTTATTACATAATAAAATCCTTACATTTGCCTTTGCTAAACCCCTCAGAGGACGAAACACGTCGGCGAAGATATATTTTCCTTGTGTCTTTATTCATATTGTCCATTAACAGATATACTCTATTTAAAATTTTTACACACAGACACACACACACAAATATATATATATATATATATATATATATATATATATATATATATATGATGATTTGCCATCTCGTTTCCGGGTACTACCATTAAATCATATATTTTTTGGTAAACATCTACTGAATCTACTGATGTACTGTGCTGAACGAATGTGGCTCTTCAGACCAGCAAGGGACCTACATACTCTGGCACAAACTGGGGACTTAAGAGGTGCCCTTATTAGAAATGATAGCAAAAAATCAAGATATACAGGCAATGTAGAGATTATCGCCTCGGTAAAAGCAACCGGCAAGGTAACAGTAGAGTGTATAGTAGTGTAGATTTGAATCTAGCTTTTGATGGCAACTAGGCTAAGAGAAGGAAAATCTTAGATCTAAACTATGGAGAACTCACCAGAAAAGCATGACAATTCGCGGATTCTAACGTAAACGAATTTGTGGAAATTAATTCCCGCCTTCATCTTTGATATAGCATTTTAGATAAATAAACCAAAACTTGACGGCCAAGAAACCATTGTAAAGTGTCATTTTTCAGTTACCTTTTGTGAGCTAGTATTCTTTGGACGACAAGAAGATTTATTTGATGATGACCGTGTAAATTATCAATTAATTATTCTTTACGCTGACTGTTTTTGAAGAAGTCGATACTGCTTCTTAGGATAAGTTGTTTTATCTCTACAAACACTATTATTTTCCCTACCATGTGGACAAATGCCTGGTTAAAATTTTTATATCTGTTTTATATTCTTCTGTCTTTTACTTAAAATTTATATGTGTATGCGTATCTTAAAGGGGGAAAATCAGCGGATTGATGCTTTCGAAGTATGGGCGTATCGCTTAATTCTACTGTTGACATGGTCATCAAGACGCACTAATGAATTGGTGCTAGATATCAGAACAAAGCGCGTATTGAGAGAGAAGATGGTACCGACGAAGCTCCGTTACTTCAAGCATATCATGCGACGGAGTGGCTTCGATAAGGACATTCTGCTGGGCACATTGAGTGCTCAAGCGGCGCCCGGGATGGCCAACCATGTGGACTGGAATGACAGTGACTTTGGCTATAAAGGCAGCGTCAGACCGGAAGTGAAAGTTGGAGGGAAATGGTGACCACAGTTGCACAAACTGCGCCGAATGATGTGCATTTTCTTCGTTATTTTTATATATTCATTCTTTATTCACTTTCTGCTTCTACCTTCCCTCTGTGACCTGGAAGATTTTTTTTTGTTGTTTTGTGTGCAATTAAAATATTATATTTGTTTTATTATTTTTTTTGCATAGATTTAATATTTTATCAATATATATATATATATTTTTTTATTTCAATGACATGTTGTTTTGTCATTTTATTTCATATTGCCGTTTATTGCTTCCATTTTCTAATTAAACCTTTTTTTTTTCCTTAACTTTGTTCCCGCGTCAAAACGTCTTTGCATTTCCCGACAACCACAATGCTTCTCCTTCAAAATACCAGTCCATTATCTCGCAGTCACTAGAGGGCGTCACGTGCAATTCCTCTCCCATGTGGAGAATACGGTGTACTGTGTTGCAGAACGCAAAAGGAACGCGGTGGAATTACTAAAACAATATCATAATTGAAACAACTTGACGTTGTCTCAGAATTACTTCAATCTACGAAAAGGTCCTAAGGCAAAAAAACAACATGGCTGACATGTGATGAAATCATTTTTTTTTATAATGCCTTTTAGATTTAATAAAAGACTTGTCGTAGTCGACAACTATAATGACGATTATGGCAATCATTATAATTGTTTTACTCGTAGGCATAACGTAATGAAGAGGTAAAAATATTATTGTAAATTTAATGATAAATATATAAAATAATTATTTCATATGATACAAATAAAATATGGTATTGGGAAGAAAAAAAAATAACAAGTACAAATTGCATCGGATATATAGTAGCTTGTCCTTGAAAATATTACAAAATATAAAAGAAATATATGTAAAAATATCATTTCTGATGTAAGGGACATTGGCAATAATAATTATTGCATATCATAAAAATATTAAAAAATATGTAAAAATATTGTTGCTATAAAGAACAACGGCAATAATAAATATTGCATATCATAAAAAAAATTAAAAAAATATATATAACATATTATTGCTAATATAAGGAGCAATGGCAATAATAAATATTGCATATCTTAAAAATATTAAAAAATATACCATGAAGAATGAAGACAGAAAATAATAAATATATATACGAACGAATGTATCAGAAGAATATGCATTTTGACTTAATGGATAACGGCTCAGGCTGAACCGAGTTCGAATTCCCGTCGGATACGTTTTATTCACTTACGGGCAAATAATAATTCTGAAAGTTAAGAAACCATCTATTCTCGCCATAGTTTGTAATTAAATAGCGATACAGACAGTAGACTTGGTTTTAAACATGTGAACGGAAGAAATATTTTGCCTAGTTAGTCATAAATCGAAAGAGACATGATCATCCCAGCGTGTATCACATATGGCACCACACTTTTTATATTAGAAAAGAACATAAAATATCGTGCATAAATATAAAACAAATATATAACAAATAGAGGAACATCCAAATATACAGATATATGTAATTAATATAAATACAGACAAACCTCTCATCTATGTACCACGCCATCAACGGACTTCGGATGCATCGACAAAATCTGCAGGCAAAATAATAAAAAATGTAGCAAAATAAAACTTCCAAATAGTCAGCGATGTCTTCTAAAATTTGCGGCCTTCGCAGAACGAGTCGTATTAGTTCTCAAAGTGACAGCGTTGTAAAACAAAGACGGACAGTACGATACATTAGCGTGTGCGTGTAAAAGAAGCTGTGAGATTTCTTTTTTATTAATATACCTATATTACATATATATTTATGGGCACGTGACCGATTGGTTAGAACGTTCGTATTCTGACCATGTGATTTGTCACATGGTCAGAACATCAGGAAGGAAACTTCCAGATGTTATAGGATTGGAGTGTTCGATCCCAGCTTGCGGCGCATTTCGAAAATGCTTGAGAATCATACAACGTTTTGTCCCAAGCCTTGTGAGTGAAATTGGTTAGACGGAGCCCTTGACATGAAGTCACAAGTCATCGTACCCGAGGGTTTGAGCGTGCTAACCTTGTTCAAATTGTTGATCACGCTAAATAACTCGCTCTTTCCCAGAAGCTGTAATTAAGGTCTGACTCAGCATAGTTGTAGTATAAACCACACGTAGGCTCTGTGGGTGTTGAATAAACACAAATGAGCCTGAGAAAGCGTCTGCAATAGGGACTGGCTTGCCGTCCTAGTAAAGGGTATTCTCGAATATGAGTGGCCAGCTATACATACATATATACATAAGTATATATTTATTTATGCTGTATATATATGTTTGTAGTATTTACATTGTGATCATAATTACTGGTAGTTACTATAGTGGTTTTATAAGTAAAAAATAATCAAGTCACATCTACAGACAATCGCATTTAACCTATTAGTCAGTTGATGAGAGATTTCTTTGTATATTTGAAATATAATATAGGAAAGAAATCATACAAATAACGTAAAATGTCATTAAATTATAAAAATATTATTAAAATAACCGCCTAGATATAATAGGGTACCATAGAAAGGTAAGAAAATATCACGAAATATGAAATCATTATTGAATATACAGAAAACATATATCATCAAGAATGAAAATTTAAATAAATATATCATCGCTGATATGTGAAGTAATTGTAGTGAGGTAAAACTGATGAGGAGTTCGAATTCCAGTCTGGTTCGTTACTTTCATTCAACGGGGAAAACTATGAATTAGAATGGGGTCCGTTACATTATTTGCGAAAGGTACGGTGGAATAACATATAACGGCTCGGAATCGGAGAGCCGAATTCGAATCTCAGTCGAATCTACTGCGTATGATTTCTTCTTCCGCCAGCTATGAGTAAATAGCAGGACAGACCGGGTTGCCTTGAATGGCAACTGGTCTACCCCAGAAAGAAATGGCAACCTAGCACGGGAAAAAATCTGCCTCGTCAGTCATGTATCGAAAGATACATGATCGCCTTAGCGTGTATTATGCATGGTACATAACTGACTGATGAATATATCTCTTAACCCACTTACCTATAGCCTTGGTTTGCAACCAGTCTAAAACAGAAAGCAACTTCAGTCTTTTGCAGGAAGTCTTTTAAATAATCCGTCATAAAAGGAAACAGATGTTATCATGTATGGCACTTGACTTTTGATTTGAAATCACAAAAATAATATGAAATATCGTAAAAAATATAAAAATATCAGAAATATAAAATATGCAAATATACAAATATCTTATAATATCAATATAAATACAACATAAATTATATGATATGTAATATATCAGGCAAAATGAAAGAGGCACAAAAAATCATGAAGCTAAGTTAACCTTTATTTAATTATAAAAACGATATCAAATAAAAATAGCATCGTAATTTTAATGAACAATAGCGTTAATAAATCTTGATATAAATAATGGTATGAGTAAGAATAAAAACATATATGACGATATAATTGTTGTTATCCCGAAGATATCATAACGAGGTTACGAAATATAAATAAATTAATACAATATAAACAATATATGACGAAATGTTATATATAAATGTATAACATTATGAAGGAAAGATGTTTGACAAAGTGGAAATGTTTTTCATGTGACGCGTTTCCTTCATTAGGTCTTCTAGGGTTAAGAGACAAAACTGGTTACACGAAAAACTTTTCTCATTTTTCATACATCTTTCTTCCAAAACTGTTCTCGATATGTAAAAATGTATATACTGTTAAAATGCAAAATATAAATAAAAGAAAATATAAAAAAATATATAAACAGATAACTAAAAATATATACCATAGATATACATATATCGTAAAAAATATAAATATAATCGTCCTGGGTATGACGATAAACTTCATCAGCATCCTGGGAAAGACGATAAACTAAGTCTAACAGCAAGGCCTCTGAGCGTCTTGTGTACGCCGATAAACTACATCCGCGTCCTGGGTAAGACGATAAACTAAATCCAACAGCAAGGCTTCTGAGCGTCTTGGATACGACAATAAACTACATCCGCGTCCTGGGAAAGACGATCAACTAAGTCCAACAGCAAGGCCTCTGAGCGTCTTGTGTACGACGATGAACTACATCCGCGTCCTGGGTAAGACGATAAACTAAGTCCAACAGCAAGGCCTCTGAGCGTCTTGAGTACGAAGATAAACTACATCCGTGTCCTGGGAAAGACGATAAACTAAATCCAACAGCAAGGCCTCTGAGCGTCTTGGGTACGACGATAAACTACATCCGCGTCCTGGGAAAGACGATAAACTAAATCCAACAGCAAGGCCTTTGAGCGTCTTGGGTACGACGCTAAACTACATCCGCGTCCTGGGAAAGACGATAAACTAAATCCAACAGCAAGGGCTTTGAGCGTCTTGGGTACGACGATAAACTACATCCGCGTCCTGGGTAAGACGATAACCTACGTCCAACAGCAAGACCTCTGATAATACGGTTTTTTTATATAATATTTCCAGCTATACGTTTTGAAGAAAAAACATATTTACAGAAACAGAATTTCGACAAAACAAAAAAATTACCAGAAAAAAAAAGTTGTTGGCATTAAATGATCCATTGAAGTTGATATGCCGTAAAACAAACCAAACTAAACTATAAATATAAAATCCAATTATGATTAAAAAAAAAAACATAAAACAACTCGTGTAAAATCCAATTGTGTTAAAACAAATAAAACAACGAAAAGCATAAAAAATCTCACGTACCGTGACAGATGGAAGTTCTCTCAAGGAGTTTCTCCACTTGAACGTCTATCAGGGACTCAAGCTCTCCCTAGACCTCAAGTAGAACTCATGTATCCGATCCTATGACTAAGGTCGGGGACACTAAATTTAAGCGGATGCGGGAATATCTGGGAAGTGCTTTCACTCAGGACGGAAAATGCGACGCTGAGATGCGAAGACGTATTGGGATGGCCAAGGCGCTTTTCAAAATCTGGGCAGAGTTTTGCGGACAGGAAGATTTCTTTGGTAATGAAGAAAAGAGTACTGAGATACTACGTGGCATCTGCCCTCTTTTACGGCACCGAATGTTGGACGGTCTCCTCAAAGATGAAGAAGACACTCGAGGCAACGGAGATATGGTTCTACAGAAGGGTGCTAAGGATATTATAAACCGAGCATGTGAGCAACTCTGAAGCAACGATGAAGTTTTTATAGGATGCAAACAAAGAGGGAGCTTATACTTAACATCAGGAAGAGGCAGCTGAAGTTTCTGGGACACTTAATGAGAAAGGCAGGTCTGGAGAAACTGATACTCTCAAAATAGAGAGAATGAGTGAAAAGGGAAAACATCGCTGGACATACCTGGCTGGTTTGAGCAAGTGGATGACAGGGCGTAGTTTGGAGGAGAAGGCAAAGGGGCGACACTCATTGAGAGCTTAAAGGTGAATGTCGAGAGCCATGATGGTCTACGTCCTGAACAGACATGGCACATAGAAAGAAAAAGAATGGCTAACGATGCTGGAATATATCATTGGTTCCTTGTTTCAATACAAGATGCAGATCAGACAAAAATTGAGTATTTCTGTCATATCTCGGTTGGAACTCCATAGTTCTTCAGTTGCCTGTGTTTTTTTTTAAATGTTTAAAATGTCCACGCCTTCTTGTAGGCGATGAAATATTTCCTCCCTAGAACTCCTTTGCCATATATGAAACATTTCGAGCCTATCCCTGATCAACCGCTATTTATATGACGTGTTCTGATGAGCTACATTCCTTAGTTCTATTAACTCTGATCTTTGCATCTCGGTCTCACCTTGCATTCTAGTATAAAACATCCTCATTGACTTCTTTTTTCAATGGTAAAAATTAAGTTCAATTCAGTGCAGTTTGCCTTGCCTTGATTCTCGGCTAAATACTGTCCCAATCACTACAATCTTGAGCTTTGAAAAGGTCAAGGTTGTAATGGATCTTTTCTACTTGATCTCTTTAGCTCTAAGTTGAAATGATGATCATTCTTCCTGTTGTGACCTCCTCATCCAGTTCCCCCCCCACTAGTGTTCTCTTCTTTTTAAAACTTATTCATCGTTCTCCTGATGGTTCTTGAATGGATTTGAAGATGGAACCCAGAGTATGAATGTTGGTACACTACACTTAGTGAAGGTTTGAATTATATTATTCCTTTCGCAATTGCTCAGATGGAAAGTGATTGGGTCTGACACAAATCAATTTTAACCTGCTCTAATTTTAGCTGAATAACTGAAATGGTGTTTCATAGATTCTTACGACAAATGGTGTCAAGATGGCTAAATTCTCATCTGAAAACCTGGAAAAAAGAAACTCAATTAGTTTAACG